GGACAGCGATGATGAGTCTTCTACGAGAGTATCGCTACATTCGCGGGAAGAGAGCTTTGATACTGCGAGCGATCTACCAGACCCTGACAATTTCCCCGAAGATCCAAGCCAGGATCCCACTTCTCTACAGGCCACCATCGATTCACTGTTACCACATGATCAATTACGAAGAGTTATCAAGCAACGAAAGGCTTTCCATGATGGCTGGCAAGAAGGGCCAATTACCTTTCTACCAACATACAAATATGATATTGGTACAGTTGGCCTCTTTGACACAAGCGAGAAGCAACGAGCTCCAAGCTGGTGTGACCGTATCTTATTTAGGACACGAAAAGATAAACAAGATTATGAAACAAAGATTAAAGATGAGGAAGAAGCGAAGAAGAAAGATGCAGAGATGAAGTCCAGAGGGCTCGAAGAAGACGAGGACGTGCTGTTTAGTTATGACCCCGACGCTGACGGGGAGGATCCAACGTCATCAACTGACACTTTGGGATACGATGAGTATGAGGAAAATGATGACCTTGAAGCCGAGGAGCTCGTCACAAAGGAGGGCTTCCATGACCGCATACACTTGGAGATCTACGCCTCGCATCAGCGCATTACATCGTCTGATCACAAGCCCATCACTTCTATCTTCACGCTCGACTACGACGCTGTTGTACCAGAGCTCAAGGCCAAGATACACGCAGAAGTGGCGCGGGAACTAGACAGGGCTGAGAATGAAGGCCGGCCAGGCATTACGGTTGTCGTGGAAGGCAGTGATGGCAATGAAGAGAATATCGTCGATTTTGGAGAGGTTACACCCCTCGAAAAGCAGATCCGGCATCTGACGGTTGCAAATACTGGCAGTGTACCGGCGACATTCTCGTTCGTGACGAAGCCCTCGACAGAAGACGGTGATGATGCTATCCCTGTATGGTTGAAAACCACATTCTTGTCAGCAGATGAAGAGTCTCAAGAGCCATTGGGTGAAACAGTTACACTCGACCCAGGAGAAACAGCATTGGTATTACTGGAGCTCAAAGTCTCGGCCATTTCTCACATCCGGGCATTGAACGAAGCCCGCGCCAAGATCGAAGAGGTCCTGGTCCTTCGCATAGAGGACGGTCGGGACCACTTCATTCCTGTGCGCGGAATCTGGCAACCCTCGTGTGTTGGGCGCTCTATCGCAGAGTTGATAAGAATTCCTGACGGCGGTATCAGAAAGTTTGTCGAGAGGACGGGTCTCAATGGGGCGATTGCTTACGACTCGGACATTCATTGCTCAGCGCCGAAGGAGCTCTTCAAGCTTACTGAGGTGGTACAGACGCTTGTTGAACGAAGTCTAGCTGAATCAACAATGCTTGAGGAGGAAGTGCTGCCACGGGATCCTGGATGGCCCCTTGAGGCGTCGACGTGGAGGGTTGGAGAGGCGGATATGCAGGATGCAAAGGTCAAGCTTGTGTCTGCTTTGGACAATGATGCTTCTCTTCTTGATGCGCTTCCATTGGAATGGCCTGCGTCGTTCAAGTTAGAAGCCGTCTCATCCATCCTGCTACTCTTCCTCGAATCTCTCACGGACGGTCTGATCCCTACTCAACTCTGGGCCAAGATCTCAACATCATTGCCCAACGTGACATCCCTACCCATGACCGCTTGGTCCGACACCAAGACACAGATCCTGGACATTCTCTCATCAGCACCCAACCACAACATTGCATTCGTCTTCCTTACAGCTACTCTCTCCCGCGCTGCATCAGAACTCACCCCCGTGACGAACGAGCCAAAAGGCGGTCTCTCCCGCCGCCTGAGCTTCCGCCGCGGCAACGCAGAGGACGAAGACACCAAGAAGCGCAAGATGCGTGAACGTAGATATGCCGAGATAGTAGGGCCTTTGGTCTGTCGTGTAGACGAAAAGGAAAAGGGGTCGAGGGATCGAGCGCGGACTGTCGTGGAGATGTTTATACGGCGGGATGAGGGAAGCTAGAAGCGGAGGAATCGCAAGATACCGTGGAGCATCTGAGGTTCACGGGAGGGTTAGTATATCTGGTCTTTGGTCTTTTTGAGTATTATACCAGCTTGGCTTTGTTTCGATGTATTCTTTAGGGGTGAACAGGGATACAACAAAGGGATTAGAGGATGTGGCTTGAACAGTAATGACGTTGAACGTGTGAACAACAAAGATTAATGGACATTGTACATTTGATATGCAGTCTTTAGGCTCTTTGCAGTACAGATTCTAGTTGCTTTTGCTGCAGTTTCTTCCCCACTGGCAGAACAGCAACGAGGCAATGCGCTGCTCCCTTTCGCCCAAGATATCAGCACCATATGTTGTGATTACTAAGACTAAATTGATATCCCATGACAGGCATCATATTCCTTTTACTGTTTTTCTAGAAATCGAAATGGTTTAGTGGCTGTTGAGGTGATAAAGGCGAAGTGGCTGCTCCAGGCCTTTGCTCCCACTCCCGCTACGGCACTGCCATGTCCCCCCTCCAGCAGCACCAAGCCCCCAAGCGTGCCATTGTGCCTCTGTAGCTCCAAAGAACATGCTCTGTAGACAATAGAAGTTCTGCTCTTCGTTTGTCATGCCGTTTTACATTCTCGTTTGCCGTTTGCCGCTGGCGTTGGCATCACATTCAGGAACTCATCTACTCTTTCCCTCATGCCCAGCAACTCGCTTACAATAAGTGTTTGCTGGCTCCCGTGACCACTTCTGGGCGTGTAGTCATCTGTACCTTATCGATAGCTTTCGAATCAGTGCTTCTGCCCTTTTGTTGCTCCGCGGGGCTGTAAACGTAATCTCGATCTTCCATGCGTTTGCAACTTCGCTCTCCTCCCACAAAAACTCTCATTTCCCACCTCCCCCTCCAACTTTGCCTTTTCCCTTTCTTCAAAACAAAAATCCAAAAAAGAAAAAAAGACGAAGATCATCTGTTAGAACACAGTTTTGTTCTCTATATTTTTGAACGTATTACTTTCGCAACTTAGAGCTCCGACAGTCTCATTGCCGCCTTCTCTCGTTGATCAGGTATTTGTGCTCTCCTCTTGCTCGACGAGAAGTGTTTAACCTTGCTCCAGACACATTCAAAGATAACTGTGGCCTGTTTTTCATCATGTCGCTATGGGAACTGAGGTTCCATGACACGGCCAAGTTGCCGGAACCTGTTCGACGAGCTGCCCTTACAAATGGGCACAAGCAGCTTGATTTCCTCCTTGGTATTCGAAATCAAGCTATTCCATATGCTTCATCTGAAGACATTCGCATTTACGCCTCTTTCGTCCAACTTCCTCCGACAACCCCTGATGAGGCCGAGAGTCTCCGCAACATCTCATCGGAGTAGGACACTGATGATGATGAAGCAGGCTCGGACTCGTGGGAGCATGGTTCAGATGGTGATAGTGAAGCTACCACCGAGCACGAGTCTGGCCAAGAACAAGAGAACGATGACGAGGACCCCTGGGATGCCCAAGCTGCAGCAAGCGCTACAGCCGTGGACGAGGCAGACGCCGTTGACTCGCAAGACCACACTGGATCTGACGAGCACGCCGGAAACGCCAACCCAGCCGATGCTGAGACCGCCGTGGATGAGACCTTTGATCATGACATGAAGGTCCTTGCTGCAGCTTTACCTAGCGCTTCCACTCAAGCTCAGGCTTCTACCACCAACACCTCGACAGCAGAGAGTTCGGTAACTGCCAACAACTTTCTTACAAATGATATCGGAAGCAGCGGGGGACATAGCGATCAGTCTTTGGGTGAACCCATTGACGTCGACCCCCCGTCACCAAACAACACCCAAGGCACCATCACCGATGGCACCAACACAGATGACAACCCAGAGGGCAATAGCCCGAAATGGCTCACGAATACGCCCAGTACTCCCTACAACAACGAAATGGCTGCCTCTTCCAGCAACGCAAATAGTACAGCGGAGCAGGAAGGCAGGGAGGCAGACGCCGACTCTGTCGGGGAGGTGGAAGACCAAGCCGTCCAGCCCAACAACATTCACGCCCCTATTTATAGGCGACCAAGTACCCTCCATGATACTCCCCCGACTTGGGCGGATGAGTACAAAAAGTTCTTCGACAAAGCCTTTGAGATTTGGAGTATCTTTTACCACACTCGCGCGCCTAGACCCCTCCGGGCACGACTCGGAGATATGCGTACACACGACGCGGCCGTCAAGCGGTACAACCTCATCAACCTCGGTCTCTACCCTTGCGTCACTGCCGGCCATCTCATTGAGCTGAAGCGTCGTATCGACGACGTTTCCCACTTCTGTGATTTTCTGACTTGCAATATCATGGAGATCAATCTTGCCAAGAACCTGAGGAAAGATGTCATGTACACCTATCCCTGCAACTCGCCGCTTCGACTGCGTACCAAAGGCCTCGGAAGTTCTCTGCGCTTCGTGACCCATGTAGACGAGGGCTGGGTTGACCCGGAGGATAACTGGGGAATGCCTCCTCCCCCAAAGCAGAGAATCCCCATGCAATTCCATCCATCACAGAATGCGTCTTGGTAGAAAGTGGTGGGAATCTTTTGGTTGGTTCGGGGGATAGAATAGGACACCACAAGACACCGACACAGATTTAAGAGAGCTTGACCACGCGTAGATGGCACCAGAATTTTGTTTTGAGTTGGTTTGGCGTACGGGAACATCAGGAACATCAGGAACCACAGCGAGCTTAAGAGCGGCGATACTACAGGAAACAGAGGAGAGGCTTGGAGTCAGCGGATTTTCCGATTGGATCTAGGTATAGATCAGCGTATCGCTTGCATAGAATAAAGGCTACTTAGAATACTCTATTGTGGTCTCCGTGTAGAAGTGTATGTTTATTTGGGTCTATCGATCCTGGGCGTTGTACCGTTTCCCGACCCTTCCACCATTGGAAGCTCTTCGATCGTTGGCAACACTAAAATTCATATAGCAAAATATTCGTATCGGTCGTTATTTTATTGAATCAAGCCTCGTATCGTATGTTCTCGCCGAGTGTTCGGTTCGGTTTCGCCCTTAGCCGGCCGCAGCGACAGCCGTGGTGACGGACATGAACGTTGACTTGGGTTCTGGCTCTCTCGTATACGTCGGATGTGGGCACCACTTCTTCTCAAACATTTGCGATACCCAATACAAAGAATGGTCCCAATCGTACTTGTCCTGTTCTCCTGCGTAACGAATGGATCCGGCGTCGTGTTGGAGAGTAATCTTTGGAACTACACGGTCGGTTAGCACTAATATGCTGTATGGTGGAGTTTTTGCCATCGCAGACCTTTTCCGTTATCCCTCTTGTATTGTTTCCATACCAGAAGGTGTTTCTTTACCGCTGGGTCCTTGAGATTCTGTTTCACGAGGCGCCGATCCTTGGGTGCCAGAGTCTCAAAGTGGTCATTTCTTCGTTCACCATTAGTGAGGCCTGACGACCGAGTAGTCGGCCACTGATCGTAGTTGTAGTAATGCCAGTGGATGAGAATATTATTGCAGCTGACATGGAGTCCCTCGACAAAGTCTGGGATTGAGTATCGCAACTGTTACGTTAGCTATGTCCTTTGAGGGTCGAGGTCGCCATACACTTGATCCATAGTTAGCTCTTGCATGCCGGTACCGATCTGCTGTCATGCGACTCGCTTCGCGTAGTAGTATGAAGACGACGAGGTAGATTGTGAACCACCATCGATTCTTATCCTGGCTGAATAGCCAATCGATATCGCGTAGGAGCTTCTCCTTGTACCGCTCGAGGACCTCATTATAATTGAGGGTGTCGAATTGGGCGACTACCATGCGAGGGACCGACACTTTGCCGTAAAGAGGGTAGGATTTGTCTTCGGTTTCGGGGAGCATGCCTAGAGTTTCGTTGCCTTCGATGTAGAGAGAGCCTACAGTGTGCTCTGGGCGGGATTAGAGTGGGACGCAATTGAGATGGGGTCAAGAGGAGCACTTACGGATGGCGCACCAGAGGATAAAAAGGTTTCCAAATATCTCAAGCTCTTTTTCATCGTCCCTCGAGAGACTTCCGCTGGATTTGTGTTCATTCTGCAAAGGAGTCAGCGTAGGGCAAGGATCGTGTCGAGACTCAATTGACATACGTGGAGGTCCAAATAGCGAGCCACGGCCGTGAGGTACGTTCTGGTGATGGGCCCTTCTCCAGCTTCTGATTCACTCTCCTCTTGGATAGTGTGATAAAAGGCTGGGAGAGCATTGTCGATTGTGTATTGTCGAACGCTTTCGGCCGTGTCGTAGATGTTTTCCAGGCAGTAGTTGGCCAGTTCCTTCTTCTTGAACGTCTCCTTCCCGAGAAGGCCGTCAGTCCAATATCGGGCAGTCACGTCCCCGTCGATGGGTCTGAATCGCACAACGTTCATGCGAAGAGGTTTACCACAAAGATTCTGTGAGACTTCAATCGTGACAGCAACTGTATCGAGTCGATCCCCAATATCTCGCATTTCGATGCCCGCCCATCGTCTCGTGAGTTTGAGCCCGCCGCTTCGATAAAGAACGACGTCGGCAATTCGGAGTCGCGAGCATGGAACGCGATGGATTGTCTTTGGCGACGACTTGGAGACATTCTTGCATGTTTTGCATTGTCCTTCTGGGTTCTGCTCGTCTATAAGGCACTGTTCATTTCATGTTAGTGTGACCAATTGCAGGAGAGGGAATGTGTACTTTGATTTTCTGGAACCGACAACGAACACAGGCGCTGATCTCTCGTGTGAACCGTACAACCTCATGTTCCTCCAATGTGAGGGGACGTTTTCCAGAGCTAGTTGTTTCGCTTGGGGAAACGATGCTGTTTGTTGAAGATGATGGAATATCCAAAATAGGCGACCCTGTTTCGTCTTCGATTTCAACATTAGTGTCGCGAGAGTCCGAGATATACCCAATCTCTTCTTCCGACACCTCGCCGTCGTCGCTTGACTCGTTCTGGGGACTGGCCTCTTCATCTGAATCATCGTTGTCTGAAGAGGACTGAATACGGTGCTCCCGACTGGACACGGCCGAGGGACCAGCATGTGTCTCGAAGCAGTCCGGGTCCGAGTGATCGCCTAAAATTTCGTCTAATTGTCTAAGAAGATCATTGTCTACATCGGACTCTTCATTACCTTCTCGATCTTCCGGCTGGACAATCCGTGCATCATCATCTACTCCACTGCTCCCACTGAAACTGCAACATGTGCCGTCAACACTTTCAGTATCGTCTTCATCGCTTGTTGCAAAGGAATGATTGGGTTCTGGGGAGTGCGCAGTGGCGAGGGTGCGTCCAATGCCATTCGGGGGGGTTCCTGGGCGGCTAACATTATCATGACCTGTATCCGGCGTAGGGACATCTTCAGCAACCGCCCAAACTTCAAGATCCGAATCCTCATCTTGAAATCTACTAGCAATGGCCTCATCTCTTGAGCGCGAACCAGTGATGGGCCTTCCAGGATCGAGAGACAGCAAATCATTGAAATTGTTCTCTAACTGGTCAAGGGTGTCTGAGTGATCTGAGTCGTCGTCATCATCAGAGTTCCGACCGAGGCCAACCTGAGCTTGGACTTCTTGACTCGGGGAGTCTCCCAGCGTATCCGGAGAGAATAAAGAGCCAGGAACATCTTCCGCACCCCTCCTCAAGGGCAAGTCCAACCCCAGCTCTGTCCTGTCCGTCTGTAGGCGGCCCGCATCGTCACCAGGTGGAGAGATTAACTGGTTGCCATTGACTGAACAAGAAGCTTGTTCATTTGAAGAAGTATGAGAACAAGTACCTTTGTCCAGAAGAGATACTTCTGGTGGGGGCTGGCTCTGGAGTGTCTGACTCGAAGGTTGTCCAGAAGCAGGACCCGAGGACTCGCTAGAGCTGCAATCGGAGTCTGGAGCTGAACTCTCGGGGCTTAATCCGTGTCCGGATGAGAGTGTCGTATGCAGAGGAGTACCGTGACTTCCATGGCGTGGATTTGCTTGTCCAGATGATATTGAGAGAGGAAGTTCGGGTGATGAAAGCTCCTGAGGAGGACTCCCCAGGCCCTGAACGTTCACAACATTGGCACTCCCACCAGGATACACACCCCCTGTGTAAGTGCCACTAGAAGTGGCATTGTCTGACTTGGGGTGTCTAGGTTGCTGAGCAAAGTCTGGCGATACGTTGGACTGTGACGAAGAGCTTGGATCCTGCCGGTTTGCACGCCCAGGCTTGGACACTGTTCCCGACACACGATCTTCCTTATCTACGTAACCGTTAGAACTGTGTCAGTGCCACTGTCGAACCAACACTCACCAGTATCAAATCGCTGTTGGTTCAAGCTCAAGCAGTGACGTTTTCGTTTCGGCCCAGCGCCCGTGCCCGTATTCTGCCGCTTCCGAGTTCTCTGGATCGACCTGTTAGAAGAAAGTACCCAAAATATTTAGACAGGGTCAAATGAATCCATGGCTTGGAAACGGGGTCCCTTCAGTTACACAGCATCGAACCGACACCCACCAACAGGGCCTACTGCACAATTCTCACAGGGGTGCCTTTAGGCGTTGTTCCTGGCGAGCAAAATTGCCGAAGCTGGTAGGCATCCTTATTGCAAAACGTTACACGAATTGAGGCCCGACAACTGAGCTGAGCTGGTGGAGTCTGGTTCGTTCATCTTCATCCTTTCTCACTTACGTGGATGTCAGCTGGACGAGTAAAATTCTCCATTCTGGCACCTGGGTTCCAAGACCCATGAAGCGCAAGGTCCCGTGCCGACAAAGTTGTCGATTGCATGCACGCCCTTTACCGATATGCCCGATATTGGGGATACCGCTGGCTTGTGAAGCACAAACTCGAGTCACACGACAGCTCGGCAGAGGTGGTGAAGTGACAACGCAGGAGGCAAGATTGCAGCCTCCCTGAGGGAACGTGCCCTGGAATCACCCACTCGTTGCCCTCGAAACCCGGTCTGAAGGGGGATGCAGGGGCATCGACGTCTACCAGTCCCTGGCCGTTGTGTGAGACATCCTTGAGATAATCCTTGCTCGCAGCTGCAGCTTATCATCTTGAGCAACAATCCAAAATCCCAACAAATCAGTATAAATTCCACCATTTTCTTCTCACAAATGTGAGGTTTTACAAAACTCATGTCTTCTAGTGTTTAGACCAACTCGTGTGGGTTATGGTTCAAGCGTCGAGATTTGCAGCGAGGATTGATCGTCCCTAGTAAGGATTGGATTGGACTTGTATCCCTGTCCAAAATGTTTAGCCAATCAGAGACACGGCAAGGGGTCTTTACGGACCCATAAAGCTCGTCTTCTGTCCTCGCCGGTCGACTTGAGTGGTCAATTGGCACATACTGTGGGTTCATCTGGCACGCACTACGCATGACCCGTGCCGAGAGGTCATGGATTGTGACAGGAGGCTATTCGAAATAGCCTTCTCCAGAGACGGACGGAGCAACGTCATACTAGCTATACGAGCAGCTGGTCTTATCAGGCACTACCAAAGTTTAAATGGCATTGAGTGCGTGTCTGTAGCTGCAAGGTGAGAGGAAAGCCACATTCGTGGAACACAAAAGGCAATTGGAGATTTCAAGAACAATATCAAACACAATCACATCCTCAGAGCCACCCAAGCAAATCCCCCGTTCGTGGGGGTTCCATTTTCAGAGTACGACAAGGTTCGAATTCTCACGTGAAAGCGCTGAGACATATTATGGGGTAGAAAATTTGACAGCTCGACGATCAACCGCAAGTTCGTGACCGGAGAAATTCAAACAACACGAAAGTGGATAATTAAAGGGCGTGATCGAATGTCTGAGACACGGGTATTGAGATATCCCATGACATAACAGGGGCCAGTAGGATCGTCAATCTCGAGAGATTGTGCCGAGACATCGAACCAGAACGTCAGCACGGCCCGCAACCGGCTGTTTCTTGTCGACGATATACACGATGTCACATATGTGTATAGGAGTCGAGATCTGCGGGCTTGGAACAGGTCATGTTTGTGATTCACTTCGGCAGTTGATGGAGACGAAGGCCGAGACGAGGAGGATACTGAAAAGGAACTATGTAATCTCGCAAAGAGTCGGGTTTCTCTCCAAAATGGAAAGGATCGTGAGATTTGCTTCTGCTGGTGTGACCTAGAGGCTTCACTTTTCTAACTGTCGGATTTCAGCAAGGGAAAGGAAATGATCTTACCGTCTGTTCTCACACAGGGATAACGGCTAGCTTGGGGCTAATACAAACTTCAAGCCATTCCCGTGCTTATCACTTCTTTAGTAGGTTTGGTTTGCCGAGAGGCGTCGATTCTGGCTTCAGTACTTTCTTGTCATCGAGATAATTTGTTGTTCGTCGGAGAGGCAGCGGTTGAAGTTGCATCGCTCCGATAGTTTCCAGGCAGGTTTATTAGAGGTTGTAGTTCGGCTGACACAAGTACAAGGGCAGGGATATGATATTGGCGTCATAGTCAGAGGACGCCATAGGTGATAATCTCCTACTCTGGTGCCGTCGTGCCATGCCATTCCAGAGGAGTTTGATTATATAGTGGTAGATGGGAGCATGCCTTGGTATGGCGGGAGGAACGTTCTGTTAACGGTTGTCTTAAAGAGACATAAAGATCTGAAGACAAATACGAGGACTTGTGAAAAGACGAATGGAAGCAAAAGGCAGGAATGTGAAAGAGAGTTGGAAGGGGAACAACCAACAGAGGGTTTTTATCTCCAATTCTCACATGACACCAACACGTGACAAGATTTCTCGAGATAACAAACAGTATTGCAGGATGTTGGTTGTATTCTCCAATGAGCGACTAATAGCTAGTATGTAGTCCTGCATAGTGACCTATAGTAGGCTGTTTCGAAGGAAACGACAGTAGATAGACTCTCAAAACTCTTGATAAACCAAAACACGTCATGACTCGGAAATGACTGGAGGTCTCAGAACAGAGACAAAATCAAAAAGCGTGGAGTAGTCGGAGAATCATCACTCCTCGTCTGAAGTCTCAGAGTCCTCGATCATAAAGGCTGCAGAGCTGGTAGTGTACTTCTGGACAGGGTATTCTACCATGGGCACAATAGGGTAGTGTCTAGCCTTGATCTTGCGGTTCTCCCCATAGGCAGCCTCCCAAGGAGGAAGCTTGCCGCTAGGAATCGCCCATCCGTATTTCTGATTTCGAAGCCAGAGTCTAACCAAGTGACGAGACGAGTTGTCGTCGTCAGTGTAAGCGTCTCGGCGGTGGACGAGGGCGAGGTTGTTGAAGAACAGGAGATCTCCTGTCTCGAGCTTTAACTGCAGCTCAACACGAGAAGCAGCCTCCGACACAGCTTCAAGAGCATGGATTTGAGCTTCTGAAAGAGAGGGGATATTGGAGTTCGTCATGCTCGGGTGCGGCCCGAGGCGATGCGGGTCGAGGCTCGCGAGGAGTTTGCCATCGTGGAATGTCAAGACAGGAGCGAGATAGTATGAAGCCTTACGGCCCGATCTGTTTGAAACAATTCGTTAGTTATGTTTCACTGGGTAGAGGGTATAATTTCCTACAGCTGGACAGGCCAGTTGGGAGTCAGGAGTGTCTTGACGACCTCTGGCTCTCGGTTAAGCAGGTCGTTGAAGACAGTCCAGGCTGAACTGAGATAGGTATATCCTCCCTTGTTGGCGCTGTCTCGAACTTGAAGGGATAGGATGTCACATCCCATGTCAGTGTGGAAAGGCTAGGACTAGTAAGTAGAGTATTATTTTCGTGGAGTTGATGTAACATACCAGAGAACCATTGGTATGAATACCATGACGCGCGTCGGCAGGAGTCTTCCATTGCTTCGAGTCGGTTACATGAGCTTAAAACGTTAGAAAAAACCGATGGTTCTTAAATAATAGTATTTGAGGGACTTGGGAGCTGTTGAAGGTTCAGATTTCCGGAAACGTACATAGCATGTTACCCTTGCGGTCTTGGAGCCCGCGTTTGTCAGCAATGTAGCCAGCTACACCCAAGAAGATAGTAACACTATCTTCAACAGAGTATTTCTCGCCATCGATGCCATGAATAACAACAAAGCCTCTTCCGAGATGGAGAGTCTCAGCGCTCGCTCGCAGACGGCGAGACAGGTTCGGGAGAGGAAAGTTGCCAGGGGAGACTTCGTCGCCGTCGAGCCCAAGAGCTAGTTAGTTTCATCCGTTAGCAAACATTTACTTCCCGAGTCATACGTAGTAGGAGATCTAACTTTTGAAACTAGCGAGGGCGCTGTCGACTTCCTTAGCTTCCTCGCCGCTAAGACGGAGAGTGTAAGCTTGGTCCCCCTGATAGTCTGCTCCGGACCAGACTAGGGGACCAGTCAGTGCGGCGTTGGAGGAGTTGGAGTTCTTGATAGGTGATTCCCTGAGGAGTTCAGAGTTTACACCAAGAACGCCATCGTTTTCAGAGCGATGCAGTGTAGTTGCATAGTCCTGAGTGGTGCCCCTGAAAGTTGCCATTGCTGGAAGTAAAACAAAAGTTTATTAGATAAGGGTAGAAAATAGATAGAATATTGGTATAAACTTCTCGAGTTCTCTCGGTTTTCGTCGAGTATAACTTCACTTTCGAGACAACAGAGCGGACTATTTGTATCCTCAACTCAACTCCTCTCCTGGCCGGCCGACTTCGAGGACAGCATATCCCACATCCCACGATTCACGAGGCCCATTCCGTTTCTCTCAGACTGAATAGCCGCCAAGAGCAAACTTGTGCACTTTCCTGAGTGTTTGTTCTCCGGAAGTCTCCCCGGAGTACAGTCTTGAGTTGTCACACTGCATCGAGTTGTGGAGGTCGGTCTCGAGGGAGAAGTACACGGCTTGTATCCATCTTTGTTGGCCAGAATCGATCTTCCCTGTTATCTCTGACATCGTCAGTGTTGGTTGGGCGAGTCGTGGGGCCGCTGTGACGAGAGGATTGCCTTATGGAGGCATGGCGGCTGCTGAAAGGGGTGGTGATGCGCTGGGATGGCACCTTCTGCGAGGCCTAGTATCTCTGAGTTGGCAAAACTCGTCAATTTTAGCTACGGTGGTCTCAGAAATATCTTCAGCCGAACTTTGACGCTGTGAAGAGGCTCTCTTGGATCTTCATATCCCCCCGAATGATCTCACGTCAGGACCAAATCATCTCGGCAATGAAGCGGGAAGCTGTCATTTCCACAACGTTTCTCGACTAGTTCTCGCTAATACTCACCGGACAAACATCATCAGAAACAAGGCTGATCCATATCAAACTAAGGATCTTAGTCCTGGCCTCGGCTGCACGACATCAAACTTCCGGTCCTTGTTAGCGAGCGCTAAGATATGTCGCGGGTACCTGGATCACGCCCGGCCAGAATAGTTTGTCGTTAGTAACCGTAAATACGTGCCGAGATAACGATCCACTGTGTGTGTGATCATCCTACGCCTTACCGTGGCATGGCGGCATGGTGACAAGATCTTGTCATGTCAGTGATATCAGGGGTTACTGAGATCTTGATGGCTGTTGGACAGGGAGCCCAGAGTCAATCTTGCAGAGTTTAATCTCTTAAATAGACTTAAATTTTATTAACAAGGGAAATAAGAAGAGATGTATCTTAGTAACACTCCTTTTCATCTCCTCGGAGCTGTGTACACAGAATTAGGGGGCGGGTTTTGAGGCTTCCGGCTTAAAACTCACAGCCGCGACAGCCACAAACTAAAGCCTTTCTCCAGTTCGCTTTAGAACATCAATATATCATCACTGCATTGTCTGCATTGTGCAACCGCACGCTCGTAAACGCTGCTTCACATCCGGACCAATGATCATTGCAGCTTCTCTGTCCTCCGGCCCCCGAACACCTTCAACTGTCCAGTTCCGCAGCCTGGTCCTGACTTATCTAGCTTCCTACTTTCAAGAATACACTGTGTGCTCTAGGATTGGGCTTCTTGACCTAACCGCTCAACAAACAATGACAAGACGGCAATCCTTCCGCACTCAGGGGTGTCCCTGTCGAGCTATTGTTCGCTAGGAATAATGATCCGTTAGTTCGTCTGTAGCTATGGCGTGCATGATCATCTCTCCAGTTCGTTAGTCTTATTCTGTTAGTAGTTGGAGGGGCTAATGTCAGAGAACTAGCTCAATGTGGTTGATCACTGTTTAACGCAGATGGCATCAATTTGCACTGTCTTGGTCAACTGCAACCCCAACTCAAACTGGCGTTGAAGCCAGAAACTGCCATTGGTCATTTCTTTCCTCTCACCGGTATCGATTGCCAAATGTGAGATTCCTCCTCCACGGCAGAGCAGAGGTTCCGCCTTGGCCCGGGAATGCGACAGTGAAACCCGGTGAACAGTCTCTTTTAGCTCTCTTCTCTCTTTCCATCTCAGACATCCCACGATCTTCTTATGCTGTGCGACGTAGGCAGTGAGACTCAGCCGCCAGATGTGCTGGTGGTCAAGCCACTGTTCGCCTGTTCCGGGTTTTCATGACCATTACCCCTACAATCGATCTTTTCGCTATCGGTCGGCACCAAAATATTGGGCAAACCAATTAAATAATATCCATTTTAGTTCACGCGTTTAGAGTCGGCAGTGGTAGCCATGTGCCAGAATAGCCCGTTTTAGTGTTGGCGTAGAGTCTACTTCATCAAGCGCCCTTATATCAGAACTATGTCACTCGTCGGCCGATCATGACTGGGGTGGCTTTTGTGCAAGTACGTGAATTGAAAGGCTCAGAACATGCCATGATCCCATGGTAGGCATATTATCTACTCAACCTTGGAGATGTGCGTTGAGTTGTTCCATAATGCCTGCTCTTTGTGACGGTTTTGATAGCCTTGTTGATCACTTGGCACATTCCTCCACTTCGGATAAAACTGCGACTTGGAACAAATGGGTCTTAATCTCTCTTGACATCAAAATCTTTCAACTAACTGGGGTCTCGTCTTGAGGTTCTGATCAATCGATTCGGGGACCCCGGGGCAAACACTTGCATCAGGGAAGCTACCCGGTTGCCGGCTCCAGGATACACCTTGGACCTCGTGGCTTAGGGTGTATACAGATTCTTGACGAGTACTTTGAAGATACCTGATAGACTCTCGCGTCGACAGGATGGATAGGGCGAGGTGGGCTCGGCGGCAATGGAGGGATACTTTACGATGACACGAAAGAGAATAAGAAGAAGCAAAGAATGCCCTCGTATCATTGAATCAACACTGCCGAATTAGGCAGTCATGCGTGATTTGCTACTCTAGTGCATCGAGACAATGAATGTGCTGGCTCGCATAGTAGAGATCACTTTGAGGCCATCCCAGCCACCGCAACTACCGCACAACCTCCAAACCATGCCCCACGCATCGTTCTAGTCGTGACCGTCTGCTGTCAAGCCTGACGAGATGTGACTGGTGCTATGAAGTTCCTCAGCCAGCCATGTCTAGACAACTTTGCAAACAAGTGACAGGGTCTAGACGAGGATGGACCTTTTGATAACGAAGCGCGGTGCATTTGTCTTCCTGAGCGCTTGCATCACCATCGGCTGATCTTTCCCGGACTCTTTGAGTCAAGGTGGACAAGACTGTGGACCTAACTCTGTGTTTGCTATCCCAAGACTATCATGGTACATCAGCAGTCCTCACTCAAAAAAACACTAGCCCATTATGCAACCATCAACTGTTGACGCGCCAAACTCTCTAGTCCATTAACATGATTCAGTATCCAAGCGTGTTCTCCTCCCATTCTCCGCTCCTCAGTTTCTTGACGGAATCAAGCCAACAAACCCATTAGACCGAAAATAGCCCCTATTCCCACAGCTGCCGTCACATGGGCGGCTCCCGCAGTCTGAACGGACGTTGGACCGGCTGTCTCCGACTCAGCGTACGATCCAGATATGGTTGTTGTCTCTGTAAGTGTCTCTGAGGTTGTGGGAATCGAGCCCTCCGTGCCAGGGGCGACTGCAGTCCCGGAGGGAGACTCGGTTGGCACCCAAGAGCCACCAGCAGAAGACACATACTCCTCGACAGTCGTGTATGTTCCCACGAGAGTTGAAGTCGTCGTCTCAACTCCAATAGACTCTGCGGTAGCTGAACAAGCAGCGCAACATTTTCCAGCCTCCGAACAGTCTACACCCGAACTAACAGCCTCAACGGTTGTTAACTCCGTCTTCGTGCCTTCGACCACAACCTCTCCTGTCGACGTAGAATACGCTTCCACTATCACTGTTTCGATGGTGGTTGATACCGTACGAGATAGCGTGGCTATCTGAAGTGTCTTGGACTCCCATGTCTCGTAGAAGGTCTTGGTCATTGTGACCGTGATCTCTGTTGTACATGGTTCTGAGACAGGAACCTCTTCAGTCAGCGTTGACGTTGATGTCCATGTCGACGCTGATACTTCCGTAGCTGGAGATGTCTGAACAGACACGAATGACCACGTTGGTGTTATCTCTGCGCCGCTAGGTAGGACTACTGTAGCGCCTGATGTCGATTCAGTAACAACCGTCGCCTCCTCCGTTGCTGCCGATGTCCACGGAGGTATTCCTAGGCCGCTCGAAGCTAGTTCTGTCGATAGTGAAGGCCCAGGCATATTCCATGTCCAAGGAGACAAGTCCGTCTCCGTAGTTGAGCACGACGTCGATGTTGATAGAGAAGGCGAGGGTACAACCGGAGTCCACATATCTGTTGTGGGTAGGGGAATAGGAATAGGAGTGTTGAATATCGTGATGCATGAGGTTGCCACTGGGACGGGAGTAAGAGGGGCAACCTTTGATTCACCACTCTTCCTATCTATAGTCAGTATAGCTTCTACATCGAAGATAGAAGGCATCATACCAAGGAACAGTCACAAAGGTTTGACAATGAGGTGCACATATTACCGTGCCAGAGGCCTCTGCAGATACAATACCTGACGGTTCAGAGGGTGCAGACGGCTCAGGGAACTCGGTCCCAATGCTGAATATCTGTGTATATATCGTAGTGTCAAACCGAGTGGAAGACGAGACCTCCCCATCGTCTGTGGAAGAACAGAAAAGACAGTCCACAGTCACGACCGTGGTTGGAATAGGATTGAAAGACTCTGGAAGCGAAGGAAGTATATCCACCGACAAAACATCATTTCTAGAAGCATGAAAAGGCTGCTGCTGGGCCACAGCAATATAGGCCCCTGCGACCAGGATAACAAAAAAGAGGCGAAGCATACCCATGGTGCAGTAAAAGCCACTGTAAAGAGTGAATCAGGTTGAGTTATTCAGAGTATATCCTCCGTCTCCTTATCAAGAGATATTACAACCCCCTAGCAAGCCGCAGGGCTCCTTAAGTAGAAACATAATCCCCTTACACAGCGTCGCTATGCCGGGCTCCGGAGGCACTCAAGACTTGGAGTTCTTATCAAACGTTGAGCATTGCATGTTTGCCGTCTCTTCACACGGGTGCTGCGAATATGCAGACATATCACTGCAGGTTCTGTCAAAGCTGCGGTGGTATATTCGTAGACCAACCAATTATGTCCCCTGCTGGTTCTGTGGTACTGGTGATGCGGTTGGGTGTTGTACGAATAGGGGTAACGGCATCTGGTGTGACTGCAGTGTGACTTGATCGAACGGTCTGCGCCACTTGGACTGTTCTCCAAACGGAGTTTGCGACATGTTAATCTGACCGACGGCAGTATTGAGGTTCTTCCATGGTAGCTTGGAAGAGTTCCATGGTTGGGAGTGCAACGTTGATGTCGGTACAAGTTGCCTGAAGACCAGGTCTTTGGTGCACACCGCCATTTAACTCGTTTACAAATGCTTAGAAAACAATGGGTAGTTAGGGTTAGTGTTCAAGCTTTTCAGTAAGGATTTGATGGGGGAACACAGAGGAAGTGGTGGTAAGGAAAGAGGTTGATTCATGATGATGTTGAAGTCCATCAAGGCCTAACCTTCAGAGGCCAGTGGCAATGTACGGAAAGAATATTCTGGAATGCCGCTAGATCTTTCCGTTCTTAAGCATGCGATCAGCAGCCTAAATTATGCATGAGACAGATCATATCCGGCATATTGCTGCCAGATCTCCGTAAAAGCCTGACCAGATCCTGACCAGATCCGACATGGGTTCGCTCCCAGGGGGTATATCAGCCTCCTGGACTTCATGAAAGCTGCTTCAATATGTATGAGTCCCATAGCTCTCCTGATTTTCTCTCCTAGGATGGCTTGGTCCCCCATCTCTCATCTGGAGTCGTAGAAGCTATTACTCGTACCCGTCGGGATGACCTCCGAAATCTGAGATTCCCACCCGAAACAGATGCCGGAACTCCATGTCTTACCTGCATGACATTCGACACCACACTGGATAAGACATGGTGAAGATAAATGTGACATGTCTATTGAGATTGAGCACCACGGCTGTTGGTTCTGGGGAACTGTCCAGGGGTCTCTGCAAGCTTGAAGTAACATCAGCCATTCTCATCACACCTGATCACCGGGTCTAAACGGGAATTAGGATGTCTGAGAGCTATGGAACAGTTCCTATTCGCGAGTTGACCTGATCTCTCTTCCCCCCTCAAGAGCATCGTAGTGTCTCATGCTGCTTTGTCCTCTTGGTTCAATCCAGCTTTCGTCCCGCTAATACATGGGATGAAAAATGAAACCATATGCCTCCTTGACTAATGTTTTACCTCTATATTCTTTGTTCGTAGTATTGAAATTGGAGCGAAGTAGGGAGCGGCTGACATTGTTTCCTGATAGCGGTCTCACCTACACATAGTGATCTGGCACAGAGTTTTGCCTTGGCAACTGGGCAACGCCTATTGCAGTTGTCAAAACATGAAATATATTATGCATTTAGCAGAATTATTACTTTCTTTCCATTTCTTGGTGACCCTTCTCGTTTCCAGTACAGGGTCGGCGTCAGCTTGGGAATAGATACCACTTCATTCCTCGTAGAACCTCGCCTTTTCTCGAAATCCATCATGCCCAATTTTACTTCTAATACCCTGAGTTCACAATCTAATTTTATTAATTCTTCGACAAAGATGATCTACGGGGGATTGAAGAGTGTCATCTAGTGATATGATTGCCCAAACTCTGCATGCGAGAGTCAACAGTAGCTGGGTATCAGACGAGATTCGAGCATTACAAATCACTTAATAATGCTGATGAAGAGATTAATACGAGTAGAGTTGACTTTGAGAATTAAGAAAGCTTCTTGAATGGCCACAACATGCGAAATCACTCACAAGCAATTTGTGGAGCGGCAGTCCGCGCACTTTCAGGGACAATATCCACAAATTTCACTTGTCGAAGACTGCTTCTCTTAGGAACTTATGTCTAGGTGGCACTGTGTATAGTAGGTGGTGTTTGTATAATGAAATGTCGTGAGACGGGCGTTCGATAAGCACCTGCATGAAAGCAACAACACTCAGAGACTTTCCGCTGTGGCCTTATACTCTCGTGTTAAACCAGATATGCATGTACGGCATCTGAAGCCTCGAATCAACGTTCAGAGTAAAGTTCAGTGATGTTGTTCTAATCTAGGCAGCCATATAACTTCCCCAATCTGGTTGATATGCACATCGCTTGCAGCAAGTTCAGCCCTGTGATGAAGCAAGTCAGGCCGCCGGAAAGTTTCGTCTACTCCATTAGAGCATTCTCGTATTATTCCCGTCTATCAAGCAAGCCTCCTCCTACCTTAAATGGAACCTTAATCGTACAACAACAAAGCCTTAACACTGGGGAAGAAGTGGCTGGATAAGAACGCTGTAAGCCATTCTCCAGACTCAACAGTCAACCGTCGAGGTTGGGCTTATACGAAGTCATGATATCATCCTTGTTCGTCTTCAGCTCTCGGCAAGTACCGACGCCATTGACAAGCATACAGCAGCCTATCTGGAGACAGGAGGTCGGCAGAAAGTCCGGTAGTCGAGCGGCAGTTGTGGGGCCGTCGATGTCGATCCTGCGCCGCTCATCGATAAGTGGCCAGTTTGCAATGGAATGGCTGAAAATGGCAAGTGTTCGTACAGTTATACGAAGCCTCTTCAATAAAGCTAGTAAGAATCTGTAAAGCATCACGCCAGATTGGGTTATCCAACATTGCATGTGAAAAGAGGCGTTCCATCCGCCTCGAGATCGAATTACCCTAGACACATCCTCGCAAGACTGCAGCTCCCTTCTTTCGACTACTCTTAAAAATCCCCACTAGCTCCAATAGCTTGGTTCTCCCTTAAATCCTTCAAAAAGAAAACCTTTGCAGCTCTTGGCGAGGTCCGCTAGGGGAGGAAAGAAAACTTAAGACCTTGATCCTAAATGACAAAAGACCTAAGTAACTTTACATAAATTTAGGATATCTTTTACCAAGTTTACTTTAGCACCCTGTATAAAGGTCTGGTGTTTTCTTGCTCTCTGAGGGTCCGATAGTCTCTATAGAAGGATGGGAGCATCATATCATCGCGAGTCTAGACTGGAATGGAGAAAAATGAGCCTTAAGCGAGGGAAATCAGCTCCACTGATCGACAAATGATGTTTGGGCTCTGTTGTTATTCGTGGAGTGTTATTTGACTGTTTTCTCATACGATGGAGCTAACCGATGGTGAAAGCCGCAATGCTCTCAATAACACTCCAAGATGTGTCGGTGAGCCAGACTCGTGTTGGGATGAAATACTGGCCGATCTTCTCGTAAGAACTGAGTCCCGCAATGATGATACGAGGTCAATAGCAAAGAACCTCATAACAAATGCTGATGCAATATCACGAGTGTTTAGGGTAGGCGTCGAGATGGTGGTGGCTGACTGGCTGACTAAGAATGGTGCTCAACAAAACAAACACCTGACATTTGTGTAGCATTAATGCGACGTTGCATCGCCGTGCCAGTGGGACGGAACTTTGACACATGACAGACTGCAACTGTCCCCAGAGCCAACCTCGCATTGCAGAGTTACTGTTGATGATCTGACATACGAGAAATAGACAGATGATGGCTGAGCATCCGACGTCGTGTTCACTCAAATACGGCAATTTCGTGGCTGCGTCACCGCTCAACAAGGACAAGGACAACATCACCAAAACGCCAAGCCGCAACGCAATTCGCTCCTCTAATCAACCAATCACCTCCCTCGAACGACAGCGCCTCTCCTCAGCCTTGCCCACCATCTTGACCAAGCTGGCCCTTTCGGACCGACCTTGTGCACCCGAGGCTCCTTCAGGTCTAGTCTGGGGTTCCCTGTGCCTTAGCCCGAACCGTGTTTCTCCAGGTTCAGTTAAGTCTAAAGACCTGATGGGGGTGGTAGATGCGCTGTTTTGGAAATTGAGTAATTAACTGTTCATTTCAAGTTTCAGGACTGACAGTTCATTCAGTAAACCGCGACAAAATCGAAAGCAGAAAAACAGGGGACTTTGATCGACGTTTGTGCTTTAGTAGCGGAACCACCGCGATTCATGCAAACCCACTGAAAAGCACACGACGAGCGTTCCAAGTTCCTTCGAGAAAGCCGCTAGGCACGGCCTGTCCGGCAGCTACTGCACGATGAGGCCACAGACCTTGCAGTTTTGATCAATGTATACAGTGCGCGGCAGACTGACTTAGGCAGTTGATTATTGGTTGGCATGCCACACTGTGTTTCCTGTGTTTGCTGTGCTGACCCGGAGCGTCGCCCCGGGTTGCGGGAGCACACCGTCCGGACACCATCGGTATGCCTCGGTATTTGACACCGTCTACGGAAACACCACTGGAAATAACTCCTGTCACGAATTACCATGAAGGGCAACCCTTGATGGAATCAATTTGAATGCCTTCCACATTATCTTGCTGTGAATGTCATGAAGTCAGTGGTCGTACACTTGTTCCGTGAAAAAACAATCATGGTTGACATACCGTCACTCTGATCACAGAGCCTGGATGATCTGATTCTTGAGCTTCAAATGAGCGACGTGGCACCAGGACAAACTCAACCAATCTGTCGCCAATTAAGCGAGCATCGGGAAAGCCATAAACCACAGATCATGTCATAATTGAGGGGAACAGATACTCCCGTACCTAGTTTGCGATCAAAGAACGGGTTTCCCCTCTTTATCTGAAGATATGGCGTTGAAGTTGACTTCGCCAAACCCCTCACTACAAACTCAACAACGAACGCATGATGCGGCTGGAGCATAATCCTCAATTGGGAGCGCCTCTTTTCAGAAACAACTCCGCCTCAACGCTGGGACACGATAGGAAGGGCACAGACGAGCTTGTACGCCCTACATCGCGCAAGCTTTGTTACCCCGGATGTGAGGTCGAGCTGGTACGTGACACAGCCGCACAGGTGCTCTTGTTTCAAGCGAGATGACAGCTGCGCCGCAAACTTTAATGCAAAAGATCTTGTGTTACGCGGAGTTCTTGGCAGGGTAAAAGTGCAGAGTTGAGTCCATGGTCGTCAGGGGCATTGACAATGAAGATGGTGATTATCGATAAGAAAACTGTCTCGGTTTCGGATAGACGCGAAAAAGAAGCATACCCGTAGCGTGAAAGTCAAGCAGCAGCTTGAAGAGACACTGCCTGTGCGTGCAGCTTGATGCATGTCTCATCATGATATGGATGATCATCCTTTGTGTACAAGTAAAAAGTCAAGTGAGCCATTAGAGAAACTGGTTGGATCTCTGCCTGCAGTAGTTGCAGCTCAAGGTAGGCAACAAAGGCCGACAATCTCTGATAGACTCCTCATCTTTGACCAATCTCCCTGTGAACTGTAAGCTAGACGTTATACATCAATTACACTTCGAGACAGTCTTCTCCCATCACTCAAAGCGTCTTCTCTCGGCAGCTTCATGCCGAACGGTAGACTAAAATACCACATGGCTCACTCAGCCCCTTGGACAACGACTCGCACTAAAGAAGCATCTCCAATCTGAATATCTTCCGAAACCGACATCAAAGCTTAACCGCGCGTCAAAAAGAAACTGTAAGGCTTAGGGCTTAGCTCGTAGTTATAATCGTCGTTGTCGTTGTGGTGATCTGCCATATACGCGTATATCCAGCCCCACATTCTCGAGATCTACGCTATTCAGATCTAGATTCTTCACGTATAACTCACCTCCGCGTATAGAGCGTGAACAATTTTAGATGCATTCATAGAAAGGGTCTGCTTGGGAAATGTTGTTTACACGTAAAGATATGTATATAGTCTCATCAAGAAAGCCAAGACCTTTTCAATTTATCACTCTCAACTCATTGACTTTGGCATTCATTTGTTTGACTTTTAACGACGAAACACCAAAACTCGACCTCACTAACGTGATTGAGCGCTTCAATAAGTCGACATTCAAAAATAATTCATCATGGCGGGCTATATCTTCTACAACTATAACCCCAATATGGTGGCAGCCGTCATATTTATTGTTGTCTTCGGTCTTTCTGCATTATTACACACATACCAGCTTGTTCGATCACGAACATGGTACTTTATTCCGTTCTTGATCGGATGTCTTTGTACGTGGCCGCCAATTTCCGCGTCTCATCGCTTTACTAACATTGTCTTTAGTTGAGTGTGTAGGCTACGTCGGTCGAGCTCTATCAGCGCAAGAAGCACCAGACTTCACCAAGAACCCCTACATCATTCAGTCTCTCCTCTTGCTGCTCGGTCCAGCTCTGCTCGCCGCATCGATTTACATGGTACTCGGCCGTCTCATTCGACTTCTCGATGCTGGCGACCTTTCCATTATTAGCCCCAGATGGTTGACCAAAGTCTTTGTTGCTGGAGATGTCATGTCCTTCCTTGCACAAAGTGCTGGTACGTACTCCGAATCCGTTAAACTTTACAGCACTAACAGTCAAAGGTGGTGGTATGCTTGCAACATCGAAAACTAAGAGCGCCGTCAAGCGAGGTGAGAACATCATCGTCGGTGGCCTAGGCATTCAGATCATTTTCTTCGGCTTCTTCATGATCGTCACTCTCGTCTTCCACCTCCGCATCATCCGCAACCCTACACAAAAGTCGCAAGAGATCACAACGCCTTGGAAGAAGCTCCTCTTCGTGCTTTACTCAGCCAGTCTGTTCATCATGGTCCGATCCGTCTTCCGTGTCGCCGAGTACGTCATGGGCAAGGACAGTGAGCTCCAATCGAAGGAGTACTTCCTCTACATCTTCGATGCTCTCCTCATGAGTCTCGTTGTGGTTTCCCTCAACGTGTTCCATCCCAGCCGCGTGATCAACCATGACATGGACAGGAAGCGAATCGTCAGCCAGGATGGATATGCGCTGGAGAGCCAGCCCGTGGGCAGAGATGACAGAGACCGACGTTACTCACTCTCACCTGTTCGTCCTAAGCATGCCCATTGAGGGATATATGGAGAAGCGACTAGGAGCGGGACGGATTCGGGATTGATATGGACATCGAGAGCTGATGGAGCCAGTGTTTTGAAGCGAGTGGGACTGGTACGATCTTCAGTCAACGTGGGAAGAAAGCGGTAAAACTTGTATAGATTTGAATACTGTTATAATAGATTTCTTCTGTTACATCGCAAGAAGCAACGTGATTCGTGACGAGTCTGAATCGTATCATGCATGGATGTAAAGTCAATGCTTTGAGATGCGCAGCATGGATTTTTATACGCTGCATCGTAAAGTGGAACACAACATGATTTGGCATGGTATTTGACTTCCAGTTACAGGTCAACATCGATAAACGATCCATATCAATGGACCCTTCTGCAGAACTCATACGAGATACCATGAGATCATGAGGCTCAAAGTGGCACCTCTCCCAAAAAGACATTCTTCCGTGTCCTGAATCATCACGATGCCCTTCCATGGAAGCAATTTGTGGAGATCAAAAGTCTTGTTCTCATCCCTGGCTGAACAGCGGGGCGTTGCATTCGTTGCAATGAGACATGGATGCATATGAGACATTCAATTCCGACTATGCGGAAATATGTATGTAAAAACAAACCTGGTCGGGCTACTTCTTTTTTTCGGGGAGGTCATCGCGGGAACATGGACAATCACGGAGATGGGAATCCAAGCAAGCGGCGTTTATGCCCAAAGTAGTCACTATTGACGATGACGAGTTGACGCAGTATTTCGATCATCGCAGGGAAACACTTGTCACACCAGGGGCATAACGTTGGAGAGTTATTTTCGGGGCATGAGTTTCTAAACGCGAAATGCGCTGCTGCAGCACCCGATGAGCAAACAACGGATGATCTGACATCTCGAACAGCGAGATCTCGCAGCGGAGTTTTTGATAGCCTAGCAATTGACTTTTTCCCTACGTTTTTTTCTTTCTTTTAGCTCTTCCCAGCTACCGAAGAACCGTGTTGTCTTTTTTGCCCCGAGAACGTGATCGGAGCAAGCCGAATAACGTGAACTCTCAACGCGTGAGATTCGATAACATCGTCGGACCGACGTACATGAAGAGAACCTGTTTGCTGCGCGAATTCTTGGTGCATGAGAAGGTACCCAATCGTCGATCGATGTGTCTTCTGTTAGGCTTCACCTACTCTTGAGGGCGGGCAAGTCCTACCTGTCTCTGTAGAGAGTTCGCTTCGCCAAGAGAGGGAGATCTCATTCTGGAGTGGAGTCGCACTGTGAAGCTGAGGCTTTAGCGTGGTTCAAAAAGACGTCGACGTGGCACAGTGTTTATTTAGGTGGCTACGAGAAGGAGGCTGCATCGAGGAACTTTGTCTGTATCGTTGTTGATGGGTTTCCCCTCACTTCAACGAATCTGTTGCAAGCCATAGCTCAATCTCAGTATACGCTGAGGTCGAAGCCAGACAGCCCCTCACTTCACTTGACTATTAATACTGACGTTCAGTCGGCCATTTTCTCCTCAAGATTTGCCTATAAGTAACGCTCTCGGCCAACCTTGTTGAAATGCTCCAAGCCTGGGCTGTCTCCACCCCCGTTCAAACTATAGGTCGCTAAAACCCGCTAAAACCAAGTCGCACTGTCCCATCGGGTATGTACTCTCTGGTCTACTGCACTGTCCATGCCTGCTAATTTCTCTGCTGGCTAGTCCCCTTTTAGATCCCTCGCCCGTTCGCCAGTTCGGTTGGCTGCTTGTTCCTTGGCCTCTTCAAGACGGGTGGTACGAGTAAAAACTGGATCTCAAGGTCACTGTCCAGCAAAGTTTGGGTGGCGAAGTACTTTACTCATCCTCCTCTTGTGTTCCTCTCGTCCCACCCCAGCGTCAGAGAGTCTTCCGTCTCGCTCTGGCTACAGTTTGGCTTGCTTGCCCACCCCCGGTCTTCCCTCGAAATCTCCTTCTCTTGCCAAACCCGCTTCTCACCTCATCTTCTCTTCTTGTCTTCCCATCCCTTCACTGACCTGATCTCTCTCTTCTATCCACACTTTCCCTTTTCCTCCTCATACAACCAGCCAAAAAAGACAAAACACCAAACGAATTCTATAAACCGCAGATTTACGACCCCTTAATCAGCCTGCCCAACATCAAAGTTTTCTGCAATTTTGACTCCTGGTCACCCGCAACAACCCCCCGCATTATGGTCCAAGGCGAAAGGGCCGAATAACACCTGCACCTCGTCTCCTGGAATCAAGCCAGCCCTTCCAATCTCCCATACTCCCCCCGCCCACCCGGTCGACCGACTACCAAGTCGCCCCGAATATACCTTCGACGACACTTCTTATCGCGGTCCCCCGCAAAATCCCCAGACTTTTGGCTTGCTGGCTGCTTGCCATTTCGTCTCCCCCGCGATATCATAATCTAAATACCCCCGAGCTCGACTCTCTAGTCTCAACGACCCTCGAGCTTATCGTACTTCCTTGGTATCATCGTCTCAGGAAGTCAATCGTTCTTGTCGTCGCCTGCCCCGACGACCCGCCTCGGCCGTTGATAACTTTCTTTGATACTGACAACGAAACACACAATGTCAACGGCACCAAAATCAGCAATGACTGCCGTAAAGAGGGCCTGCGATGGCTGCCATCGTCGCAAGGTCAAATGTGATAGTGGTATCACTTGTCGCAACTGTGCAACTGCTGGTATCGAATGCACATATCTCGCTATTCCTCAGAAGAAGGGTCCCAAGGGTTCTCGCGCAAAAGTCATCACCGAATTGAGAGACAACCAACGCCAGGCCAGTCTTGCTGCTAAGGTGCAAAACAGACTCGCTGGACAAACTGTTGACACTAGCATTCCTGCTCTCAACCCTACAGCTGGCATGTTGTCCAACGACCTGATCAAGGCTTGTGTCAACTACTACTTCGACAATGCTTACTCCACACTCCCTTTCCTCGACCAAAACCAAATCGAACACATGATGCTAAATATGGAAGTTGGCCGTGACAGGTACTGTCTATTTGCAGCTCTCTGCGCATATGTAGTACTTCAGCCTGGTATGATGCTGCCAGCTTCATCGGCAGAAGAGTCCTTCAGCCTTCAGAACCATCCCGGCGCCAACATCGCCGCAAGCAGTTTGCTTCTTGAGGAGTGCCTGCGCGTTCGAAAGGGCTCTGACTATTTTGAGACACCAAACTTCAACATTATGGTCACAAACATTTTCATCTACTCCTGTATCAAGATAATCGACGGACCAGACAGAGCGTGGTACTACCTACGAGAGGCCACAACTATGGCTCTCCTTGCAAACATGGACAAGGAAGAAAACTATTCCCAGTTCTCTCAAGCTGAGGCTGTCCGAAGACGCCGATTTTTCTGGTTCTTGTTCGCCACTGAGCGCGTCTACTTTTTCAACCGCCGTCGACCCTTGTCCCTTTATGCGACAATCGCACCTAGCCAGATGCACGACGACCCCAATGATGCCTTGTATCCAGAGCTTCAAACCTTTTTCATCATGTGCAACATCTTCCGACCTATGGACGACTCTTTCCTGGCCGCTTGGAGAAAGGGTTGCGACCATCTCGACTGCCATCAAATTACTGGTCTCAAGAATCACCTCAAGGAGTGGCAAGCGACGAACCCCTACCACCCCGATACTGCCTACATGGCCAGTCAACAATTCCTCAACAATGCAATTTGGCAGCTTAACAACAACCAAAATCAATACCACAGCGATCTGGCGCGGCAAATGACCAGCAAAATGGCTTCTTCTTTTGCGGGCCAGCCACTTGAGCTTGCTAAGTCCTGCCTGGTATGTATTATATGCCATGTTCGAATAACACGCGTCTAACAATTTCACAGTTCCCCAAGCTACTCGAAATTTGTCTCAACTTGACCACCTATCTGGCTAACATGCCCTCGGATCGACACCCATTGGCCGTGGGCCCTCACCAGTGGCTCCAGGATCTCTACGCCTCTCTCGACCCTGCCCGAAATGGCGACTTTGCATTCACTCCTCTCTTGTTGGCCAAGGTCAACGAGATTCTTCCACGTCTGGCCGACCCACAGCTGCGAAACGTCCCAGAGAACGGCTCTTTCCAGATGTCTGCTGACATCTTCGATGGCTTTGGTAATGCCGGCATGGCTAACATGCCACAAATGAATGACTACAACCAAGGCATGGTCGTCGATGAGAACGAGACTAAGTACGATTTGAGTGGCAGTAGTCCTGACACAATTCCCAACTCCAATTACTCGAATGGTACACCTCCTGGTACGCAGCCAGGTAGTGACATCGCTTCGGCATTTGTTGGCTCACCTGCTAATGTCATGTCCCCTGGCATCGACTACAATGTTGCTAACGTGGGCATGGGCGGCTTTGACATGTCTGAAATGAGCATGAATTCGTTCACAGCCTCTCAGCCCAATCCACTGAGCAACATACAACACCAACAACGTGTTGGAAGTCAGCCGCCCTTACAGGGTCTACAGAACCAAAATGTCAACAGTTCAACCATGAACCCAACAATAAACTCGATATATGGTATACAACAACCGCAGCGGCAGAACAGCTATCAGATACAAAACCAAACCCCCTTGTCGCAAATGGGGTCAATGTCTGACATGGACTTTTCAATGCGATAACCACACCAAAATTAAAAACATGCTGCTTTGGCCGAAATACCTGGGCAAGCCTTGTATGCATTTTTCGTTCTCTTCTCTGGAATTACTATGACATGGGCGCACAATACAGCGCCTCTTCGACCATGCATTGAATTTATCTTGCGAGCAAGTTTCTGTCTGCGGATCGAATGGAAACCGGAGGTTGGCGCTTTGGAGTTTTGGATCATCCATCCTTTACAAGATAAGGGATGAAGATCTTGGTATACTTGTTACATGGTCAAGTGACTTGGATCGGGGATTCCTGAAAACAAATATTATGCTACGGAAAGTTTTACATTGATGGTATTATGCACATTCTTCACTTTGTGGTTATAGAATTATGAATCAAAACTTTACTCTATTCAATTTATTTGCGCTT